AGGCTCCTCAGAAGAACCAGCGAGAAGTGGACGGGATGCAGAATCCACTACCAAGCCCAGAAAGTTCAGAAGCTCTGGATCCATAGCTGAGGGTGGTGCCAGGATTGTAGAGGCTCCCAGAGGTGAGGAATCCCCCTGAAGCCAAGGAACCACCAAAGGCAGGAGCTCCAGAGGAGCCCACCACGGCCTGCTGTGGGAAGGAGCTGAGGATGGGGCCGGGGAAGGTGACCACCACGGGGGGCGGCTGGATGAGGGCCGTGGAGTCGGGGCACTGGCGGACACACAGCTCGTTGCAGCTGTCAGCGATGGGCTGCGGGACGGCGATGCCGGTGGCCGCAGGGTACAGGTCGGAGCAGGACATCTTGCTGTAGTGGATGGAGATCTGCAAGGCAAAGCAAGGCAGGAGACCAAAAGAAAATCAGAGGGTTTTCAAGACTAAGTTCACGATGCTGATCGATGGGTTATGGCGAGAAACCGTGCACTACTGCTAAGAATCTGAATTTATCTTTAAGAATCCTCTAAGTTTCCTGTGTTATAAATTGCAATTGAGTAAGAAGAAAGAAGTGGAAAAAGTCTTACTGAGCTCAGGCAGATGGATATGTCAGCAGTGGTGTCTGGACAACCTCCGTGGTGTCTGGAAGATCGCAGTGGCTGTGTTTATATACAGCTTCTCCGGACACCTGCAGGAAGAGAAACTCATGTTTTGCTGGAGGTCTGGCTCCAGTGTTTGACTGCCTACCAGAAACTGTTTAACAGCATTCAGTGATGATATTGTTTTGTTCACTGTGGTTATAGTTTTATTCAAATTCATCATGCAGTGTGATGTCGATGTTACACCATCATGATGTCTTTAATCTTTGGTCTTAATGAGTTGGTTTAATTTTTGGTATCATTGCAGTGATCTCACTGGAGTTTCCACATGCATTAAGCTGACTTAACACATTAGCTCTTCCTTTATTAAGTTGTCATAAGTCCAGCTGTGCCTAGATTTTGTAAGAATCCTCTTTGGCTGACAGGCATTTTGCCTTTGCAGCCCATAAACAAGTAAAACACCCTAGGAATAGCCAGGAATTTGTGTCATTCACATCCCTAACTTGAATAACCAGAATGAACTCACATTTCAAGTGATCATCATGCTGAGATCATATAATGCACAGGGGACAGAAAGTCATTGGTTTGGCTGGATGCTCAGGGATGCTGTGTGCATTAAAACTTACCAAGGCTCCTTGAGCAGCAACAACTTCGCAAACATTCACTAGCTGATGTTCAGCCCAGCTTATTTTGGGAGCTGTGTTAATGTATGAAAATGATTGATCTAGATACTTCCTTGTTACACAATAGCATCACTTTAAAATACAGAAATCATGGTAGTTTATGCCTTTAACTAGGTCAAGATTTGCATCCTGGCTTTCATAGGTCAGTCTGAATGCAGTTCTTCTCATCTTTCCCCCCCTAAAAAGAAAATTCCATTCAAGGTTTTTCATCAAATCCTAAATTAGTATGAGATCACATTTGCTGTGCAACAGGTGAAGACAAGTCTCTGCATTCAATTTGCACTGTCCAGAAAGCCTCTACATCTGTTTGTGATGACTTACCATCTATTTGTGGCAGGGGAGGTAAACGGAAAGGGTAGCTGGTCAAAGCGAGTACTTCCCCAGCAAAAGTACCCAGCATTTACTGTAGGGGAGGATAAAAAACCTCTCACCAGGCATCAAAAGTGATTTACTGACATCCACATCTCCAAGCATGGGGGCAATTCCTCGCCTCAATTCATGTTTTCCCACAAAGCCTGCAAGTCAGTACAAGTCTGATTCAGGGCAACAACCCCTTGCCACATCAGACATCCCCTTCCACTTGAGAATTTTATTTTGTATTTAATAACATCATGATTAAAATGCTCTCCAAATTACATAACTTTTGGGGGTTCCCATGGGAAAGCACTGATTTTCTGAGGCTTCTCAGGAACAAAAGTTATCAAAGCACTTTAGAAATACTGACTAATGATTTATACATGTAGATTTTTTTGTTATTATAATGCACTGTGCACATCCCAGTGGTGAGTAATAGCTTCAAAGGAAAGAAAGAGCCACTGAAGTCATATCAGGCCTCTAACCAGATTTATTTCCCAGCCTCTGGGTCAGGCAAGCTCTGTCCCTGAGCTGCTTTCACTTATGTGTGATGCAGGTTCCTCTGCTCATTTCCCAGTATGTTACTAATGTGCTTGGCAGGAACTTGTCAAAGACAAAGGCTTTATGTTGCCAGAGCTGGAGAAAAAAATTACATTGTCAAATTTGTCTTCATTATTGCATTTTAAATGAAAGACCGTAGCATTTTACTCGTTTAGAGACTTGTCACTGTCTTGTATCTTGGCAAACATCCTTATTTTTAAAAGCTAGTTTATCCAAAGGGATAACTCAGGAAGCCATTTTAATGCAAGATACCATAGTAACAGTATCAACCAAAAGAAATACATTAGGGATTTAAAATACTTCTTTTTAGCTCATCTTTGCAATAAACAATGTAAGTACAGAAGAATGAAATAGTTACAAAAAAAAAAAAAAAGAAAAAAAGAAAAAAGAAAAAAGAGAGACAAAGAAACACAGAGAAAAAAACATTTCCAAGATGGAAAAAAAAAAAAAAAACCATTGTTTTCAGTCCTCAAAAAGAACTGAAGGGGAGAGGTATTTCTTTCCACTTGACTGTGAATGAAAATTCCTATTCAAAATGATGAAGAGTTAGAAAAGACCCAGCAAGAAGAAATGCACATATCACGTGGAAGATTGCAGGGTATGATGAGTGTAGAAGTGCAGGAGAAAACCCTTATATTTGTGGAAAGCTCTAGAGGCAGATGAGTGGATGACAGAATGTTGTATAGAAAAACTGCAAAAAGACAAAAACTTGATGCATGATATTTATTGGCAAACAGAGTAGAATATAGTAAACAGCACAAAGAATATCATCAAAAAGAGATAAGATGAACAGCAAGGCATGACAATAAGAGGACATCCTTCTTGGGCAATTTTTCCAATCAGTATATAAACACAGCTACAAAAATATCATACAACAGGTCCTGGCCCAATACAATGAAACATAACAGCAAATAGACTGAATGCTGAAAATGACAAAGATGCAAGAAGGACCAGGGCAAAGTTGGTGGAAACATCTATGAAATATGACTCAAAAAAAGAAAACATCCTAAACTGAGAAATCAATTTCGCAGAATATGATAATAACAATAACAAATGGAATCAAGAACATGTGTCCAGACTGACCACTAAAATGGGTGCATGGACTTGGTAACAGGGCTTAGCAAGGGCCACAGGGTCCCCAGAGCTTCT